TATTGCCCAAACAACATTTTAACTACAGCAATAGAAGTTTTAGAAGTCACCGATACCGCTAGTGCCTTACTAAATCCTCTCTTATTTGTTGTTATTGACCTTGACCACCTTTTTTACCCCTTTACCCCTCTCCATACTGCACTCTTAGGAAAGAAGTCACTGTCTGCAGCCCATACTTAAGTAGTAGGAAGTTAGGCTCTCCTACTCTTAGGACATCTACATAAACTTTTTGGAATTCTTCTGCATCGGAGATTTGTCTCTTCCTTATTTGTTTACTCAATCATTTATATCAGGACGGGCTCACAGATATTTATTTTATACTTTGGGTTATAATCCAGTACTGCTTTATTTTGTTGCTCAAATTGTTCCAGCTTTGGTCATGGGGAGCTCTTTCAGTTGACTCTTAATGCCCCTTTGATGTACCTCTATCAGTGTGGGTTTTGTTTTTGTTTTTGCTTTTCAAGTACTTCCTTACTTCTGACTCTATAAGATGCTCTAGGCTCATCTTGTACATTTCCTGCCTTAGTCTTAGAATCACCCATTTCTCCAAGGAGCCCTTGTTCCTTTTATTGCAGAATGATATTAGAAACCAAGATCTGGGTGCTAGATGAGCTTAGTGCTAATGGGATGTCATTTCTTTTAGTCTCCTCATCTGACAGAGCAAAGAAATATATGTATGTATACTAACCCTTGTATTGAATGAACATATCTATGATTATATACATATGTATAAATATTTCTATATGTAACCATTTTACTCATGTCTCCAACTCTAATCTGTTACCACATGGATCATTCTAGCCTGGTCTCCTTGCTTATCTGTGAATTTCCACTCCAACAGTGAGCAATCTTTTTTTACCATCCGTCATCCATTTACTTAATTGTTCAATTCCAGTATACATGTGTATCAGTATCTGAATTGTAACCCGTAGTCCTCGTGGGAAACAACTTCATCAGGTAGGATACAATGCTTATGTGCAGATGTCCTTTTGCCTTCATGGTCATAGATGCCAAAAGTTACTTAAGTCAGCAACTTTCCCTCCCCAACCTCTTTCAGTGAGATTGTTTCGTACATTTGTAATAGATTCTCTTGTCGTCATCTGCATTCCTTCCTGGGATCCTTTAATCTAAATGATTTTCTTTTATTTTGAATACATTAAAGTTTACTCTTTGTGTTGTAAAGTTCTGTGAGTTTTGACAAATGCATAATGTCGCATATCCGGTACTACAGTGTTATATAGAATAGTTTCACCCTGAAAGTCTGCTCTGCTTCCTCTGTTCATCCCTCCCCAGACCCCTCAAATTCTTGGCAACCACTGATCTTTTTACTGTCTCAATAGTTTTGCCTTTTACAGAATGTAATTGGAAGCATACAGTACGTAGCATTTTCAGACTGGTTTCTTTTATTTAACAATATGCATTTAAGGTTTCTCCATTTTGTGTGAGGTTTGATAGCTTATTTCTTTTTATTGATGAATAATTTTCTATTGTATGGATGCATCACGGTTTATCACCTATTGAAGAATATCTTGGTTGCTTCCATTTTGGAGCAATTATGAATGGAACTATTATAAACATTTGCCTGCAGGCCTTTTGGTTTTTGTGACCTAAGTTTTCAAACTAACTGCATAAATACCTAGGAGCGTGATTGCTGATTTGTATGGTAGGACTGTTTAGCTTTGTAAAAAAAACCTCCCAAACTGTCCTCCACAGTTTCTATACCATTTTACATTCCTATCGTCAATGAAGGAGAGTTCCTGTTGCTCTGCATCCTCACCAGCATTTGGTATTCAGGTTTTTGGATTTCAGCCATTGTAATAGTTGTACAGTACTCTTCATTGTTTTTTAATTTCCATTTCCTAACAGCAAACAATGTTGAGTGTCTTTTCATATACTTATTTGCCATCTCTGCATCATCTTTGGTGAGGTGTCTGCTCAAATGTTTTGCCCGTTTTCAATTGGGTTATTTTCTTGTTGAATTTTAGGAGTCTTTGTATTTTTGAATACCAGTCCTTTATTAGGTGTATGTTTTGCAAGATTTTCTCAGTCAGTGGCTTGACTTTTTGTTCTTTAAACAATGTGTTTTGCAGAGCGGAAGTTTTTAATGTTAATGCAGTTCAGCTTATCAATTATTTCTTTCATGGATTGTGCTGTGTTGTATCTAAAAACTCATAACCAAACCCAAGGTCACCTAGATTTTGTCATGTTATCATTTGGAAATTTTAGAGTTTTGCATTTTATGTTTTGGTATGTGATGCATTTTGAGTTAACTTTTTTTTTTGAGTTAATTTTTTTAAAGATGTAAGGTCTATGTCTAGCTTTTGCCTTTTTTGCATTTGGATGTCCACTTGTCCATTTGTTGTAAAGACTATCCTTTCTCTCTTGAATTGTCTTTGCTCCTTTGTCAAAGGTCAGTTGACTGTATTTTTGTCGGTCTATTTCTGGGTTCTCTATTCTGTTACGTTGTTCTATTTATTCTTCACCAATATCACACTATCTTGATTATTGTAGCTTTATAGTAAGTCTTGATATCGGGTAATGTCAGTCCTCCAACTTTGTTCTTCTTCAGTATTGTGTTGGCTCTTCTGGGTCTTTTGCCTTTCCATATAAACATTAGAATCAGTTTGTTGATATCTACAAAATAACGTGTTAGGATTTTGATTGGGATTGCATTAAATCTGTAGACCCAACTTGGGAAGAATGAACATCTTAACAATATTTGAGTCTTCCAATCTATATTTTTCCTTGTATTTACATCACCTTCAATCAGAGTTTTGTAGTTTTCTATATATAGATTCTGTACATATTTTGTTAGATTTATACTTAGGTATGTAATTCATTTGGTGGTTTTATAAAGGTATTGTGTTTTTAATTTCAAATTCCAGTCATTATTGGTATATCGGAAAACAATTGAATTTTGTATATTGACCTTGTATCCTGTGACCTTGCTATAATTTCTTTTTGGTTCCATTTTTTGTTGTTGATTCTTTACAATTTTCTATACAGTAAGTCATATCATTTGCAAACAAAGACAGTTTCTTTTTTCCTTCCCAATCTGTATGTATACCTTTTATTTCCTTTTCTTGTCTTATTATACTAGCTAGGATTTCCAGTATGGTGTTGAATAGGAATGATGAGAGGATATCATTGCCTTGTTCCCAGTCTTAGGGAGGAAAGCGTCCAGCTTCCTACCATTAAGTATAATGTCAGCTGTAGATTTTTTGTGTATATTCTTTATCCTGTTGATAAAGTGCCCCTTCTACTTCTAGTTTGTTGAGAGTTTTTAGTCATGAATGGGTGTTGGATTTTGTCAAATGTTTTTTCTGCAGCAGTTGATAATGATCATGATTTTTTTCTTTTAGCCTGCTTTTATAGTGATTATACAATTGCTTTTCTTTTTTAAATTACTTTTCTAATGTTGAACCAGCCTTGCATGCCTAGTATTAATCTCACTTTGTCATGGTGTATAATTCTTTTTATATGTTGTTGGATTTGATTTGCTAATATTTTGGTGAGGATTTTTGTATCTATGTTTATGAGATATTGATCTGTAGATTTGCTATCTTGTACTGTCTTTTTATGGTTTTAATATTAGCAAATCTGCCTTTTTTATTTTTCTTCCTTCCCTTCTAGCTTTTTTCCGTACACATTCTCTAATTTTAACTGTGTGAAAATGATACACAAGTTTTTTTGCATTTGTTCAACTTAAATTTTTAATCTCCAACATCCATTTAATCTCTAGCAAACATTTTTTATGCTGCTTCATAATTTTCATTATACAATTTTCATTTAATAGCAGTTATATTTAAAATCAGGTTGGATTTTATTTTATTTATTGTTTTAAAGATTGGCACCTGAGCTAACAAGTGTTGCCAGTCTTTCTTTTTTTTTTTTCTTCTTTTTCTCCCCAAATCCCCCCAGTACATAGTTGTATATTGTTGTGGGTCCTTCTAGTTGTGGCACATGGGACGCCACCTCAATGTGGCCTGATGAGCAGTGCCGTGTCCGCGCCCAGGATCTGAACAGGTGAAACCCTTGGCTGCTGAAGCAGAGCACACAACTTAACTGCTTGGCCATGGGGCCTGCCCCGTCATTCTGGATTTTACAATGAGAAATATCACTCAGCTAACTATTTACAGAAAAATGATTATACTCTTAAATCTCGAAATTTTTTCTCTGGGTATAGTTACAGTAAGATGACAAGGAAATAACTTAATTTCCCTATGGCTAATAGGGAGAAAAGTCATAGCCCTGTGTTCGTACACAGAAACTCTTACCTAGAACGAATAATGGAATCACATATCTTACTAGTGCAGCATAGTCATAGATCAGGCCTGGCTGGCAGTGTGGGGAAGTTCTCCTATTCTCAGCCAGCCCTCTCTTTTTATGTTCTCCATCTTTCTCTCGTTCACATTTCTTTCCCAACTTTTGTGTGGAACAGAGACACACAATTTTGTGTGTGTGTGTGAGGAAGGTTAGCCCTGAGCTAACTGCTGCCAATCCTTCTCTTTTCACTGAGGAAGACTGGCCTTGAGCTAACATCCATGCCCATCTTCCTCTACTTTATATATGGGACGCCTGCCACAGAATGGTGTGCCAAGCAGTGCCATGTCTGCACCCGAGATCTGAACCTGCGAACTCCAGGCTGCTGAAGCGGAACGTGTGCACTTGACTGCTGCACCACTGGGCCAGCCCGAGAAAAACACAATTTAATTGCTTTTTACTTACCCTATAAAATTTATATTTTCTACTGCCAAATTTTAAAACGAGTTGAAAAAAATCTTAAGTTGATTTTCTTTTTCATTCTTCTATTTGCTCAGTGTTTCTACACGTAAAAATGTTTGCAGGCTGTGACTACAGAAAATAAGGGGCAACTAAAAGGAAATTTTAGGACTTGATAATCTGAATAAAATAAATCTATAATAGGTTAATTATTGAGATTTTTAATATAAAGAGAAAAATGACAAATTGTTCATATTTGTGTGTCTGCTTTTTCACAGGCAGAGAATCCCCCTAATGGACCAGATTGTGGTTATGGCTCCTTTCACCAGCAGTATTGGCTTGATGGAAAGATCATTGCTGTGGGAGTGATTGACATCCTTCCATACTGTGTATCATCTGTGTATTTGTACTACGATCCTGATTATTCATTTCTGTCTTTGGGTGTCTACTCTGCACTCCGGTAAGATTGCTTTTGACAGTTGTAATGAGTCATATGAAACATCAAATAATTCCTTATTTGATTATATTTCATCATATAACAGTAGAAATCCTGTTTGATAGTACATAGTAATTTGTTGCTATAGTAGTCTCTTATATATTGATATTTAGAAATATCACTTTTAGAACTGAAGCCAATGTCTGATAGTAGTTCCCTTGCTTTTTAAGGTATCCATCTAGTCTAGTGTATGGGAAGTCATTGTATTTGTAGGATGCTTTTGTTGTTTAGTTTATGCATTTATTTAAGCTCCCCATTCAGAACCACTTAATGTTCCATAAATGTTATGTTCTAGTGGCCTAGTGGTTAAGTTCAGCACGCTCCGCTTTGGCAGCCCAGGTTCAGCTCCTGAGCCTGGACCTACACCACTTGTCTGTCAATGGCCATGCTGTGGTGGTGGCTTACATACAAAAAGAGGAAGATTGGCAGCAGATGTTAGCTCAGGGCAAATCTTCCTCAGCAATAAAAAGTTATATTCTTTATATATTTTTTCTTGTCATTGCTATCATATATTTTTTTTATAACTAAAGGTTAAATGAATCTGGTGTAATGAATTAAAGCAATGTGAGTCTGTCGGAAGAAATACGCAGTTATATAAAATATATAGAACAGGACTGAGGAGTTCCTGACTGTCCATCTGACTCTGACCCTCACCAAAAGATGATCTCTCTTTTATGTCTGTGGCTGAAAATATACGCAACACAGCACAAATATTTTTACGCGCATTATTGTAATGGTAAAAGGATTGGGGTCTTATTCCATGAAAATATTTGTTTCTATTTTTATTCCTGCTTATCTGTGTATATAAGTGAAAGAGGAGGGAAGGAGGATTGAGAATTATTTTTCTATTATTTGTCTGGAGCTTGAGTCTCTGTTTTTCTCCCTCTATCATTATGTCTTTTCTTTTTTTTTAAAGATTGGCACCTGAACTAACAACTGTTGCCAATCTTCTTTTTTTTTTTCCGCTGCTTTTTCTCCCCACATACCCCCAGTACATAGTTGTGTATTTTACACTCGGGTCCTTCTAGTTGTGGCATGTGGGACACCACCTCAACGTGGCCTGACGAGCCGTGCCATGTCCGTGCCCAGGATCCTAACAAACGAAACCCCGGGCTGCTGCAGTGAAGTGCACAAACTCAACCGCTTGGCCATGGGGCCGGCCCCCATTGTGTCATTTTTTTCTTTACTTTTCCCAGTCTTTTTGTCTGATGGTCACATTTTCACATCATGGTAAAATGTATTTTGCGATTATTTTATTTATTGTGTATGTGCTATTTTCTGGCTCATAAAAGTAGAAGAGTTGATATTTTTCTTTGATCACCATTTGATTTTTTTTTCAGTCTGATCCAGAATTGTTTTTTTTTTTTCTTTCAATGTCCCACGGTATAAAGAAGTTCCCTATTGTTGTATTTTCAACCTGAAGTCTCTCTTAATGCCAAGTTATAACAAATTCACAATTATACAGTGTTTACAACTGATCTTTGTAATAATGTTTTATTTTTCTTAGGTATTTGATTTTACATTTTATGTAAACTAAATAAAAATAAAACAAGAAAGAAAATGGCAACAATTGTGGAGTACTCCACAATTGTTGCCATTTTCTTTCTTGTTTTATTTTTATATCTCTCACTTTACAATGTGTGGCTATGGATTTTTTTCCTATACTTCTCATAAATATTAAGAATGATACTTATTCCTACATAATAAGTCCCAGCCTATGTATGAAATATCATTTCATGTCTCAGTAAACTAAGAGAGAGCTTCGAGATCATACTGCATTTGAGATAGTAACTAATCAATTCCCAGCAAAATTTGAAAGAGTTCCACTTATTGCTTGGTATATCTTTTGAAAAATTCTAGAGTTGGAGAGCCTTGAGGAAGTAGCAGAGGAGCCCAAGAGCAGGAAAGAGGTTGTCATTTGAGAGTGAGGAGATTGAGACTGCATTGGAGGCTTGTCACTTCCTGTTAGTGCCCTTGAGAATGCGAGTCACTGAATTTATAGAAGAGGAAAGGCAGCCAGGAGATTGACATTTCAAAGCAAAGTTGAGGAGAGTAGGTTACAAGTTGCCAATTCCATTCTTGATTTTAATGTATTTTGGTGAAACCTGTTTAGGTTATTTTCCCTCCATTTCTTATCACTGTAGAGTTTTAACATTTTAACTTAGAATCACTGTAGATTTTTATGTAATATAGTCTGCAGATTTTAAAAAATGTTTGAGCTGGGGATCATGGGCATGGCATTTATTTACCTTTTCTTTTTAGCAATGTAAGTAATTTGCTTAACAGATGTTTATTTGAGCACAATCTATATGTCCTGGTATCATTCATTTGCTGAGTTGGGGAAGGGTTTGGGCAGGTTACCTGATCTGATTAACATTATAAAAGACTACTAAGATTGCCCTTTGGGGTTATGGAGGGGCAAGAGTGGAAACAGGAAAACCAGCTGGGAGGCTACTGCTGTTGTCCAGGGAGCCATAATGGTGGGTTGGACCAGGATATCAAGATGGAGGTGTCTCTGTAGAAAAATCATCGTACAGTGTTTTTATAATTGTTCATCTCCCAACACTTGGATTTTTTTGATTGCTTAATATCAGATTTTGTCAAATATTTGTCATCAAATTACTAGTACTTTGAATATTGGAACTGGACTTAACTGTACCTTCATCTTTATTCTTCTTTTGGCAGAGAAATTGCTTTTACTAGGCAACTTCATGAGAAAACATCTCAACTCAACTATTACTATATGGGTTTCTACATTCATTCATGTCCTAAGATGAAATATAAGGTAAAGTTGATTTTTCACACGTGTCTGCTGTAGATTCATTATGAAAGTTAGTGCTTTCATAGTTTCTTGTCATATTAATTTAACTTGCCAAATGTAAATCATGAATTATTTTAAAATATGTTTTAAACTTTTCATAGAATCTAGTTTGTTCATTGCCTAGAACAGTGCCTGACACATAGGCACTTAATATTTGTTTAATATAGGTTAATATGTAGAAAGAACCTGAATACGTAGAAATCCCAGCTATTCTTGAACTTTCAGTGGGGTCCTCCTTACTTGGGGCAGCACAGTATGCCCACTAAGAAATCTGCCTTCTCTGGGTGCACTCTAACTCTCCTCTGCCCTCCATTCTTTCTCGTCCATTTAGTTTTGGCTTTGTTTCCTTTGGACCCAGTCACAGTCCAGAAAAACTTGAGCTCGATGCAAGCAGCAAGATATTTTCAATAATATAATATTTGCAAATATTTGTATGGTTTTCATCGTAGAAAAAATGAATCCCTAATAGGATTTTTGTCTCATGGCACAGGCTTTTGAGCTTTGAAGGGGGGACAAATGGGTTAATTAAGGAAATCTCCTTCCTGCCTCAGAAATGAAGCTTTCTATAGTGAGAACCATAGTGTCTATTGCTCTTACTTTGTAATTCATTGTATAATTATGAGATTTAAGTATATTTCAGAATTTCCCTTTCAAAAAGTTTTAGCTTTTATGACTGTCTTTAATGAACCTCTTCGATGTTTTGTAAGTATTGGTAGCCCACTGTAAAAACTCTGGAAAGTCCACAGCAGTGTAAAGGAGCAGACTGCCTCCATCCCGCCCACTGTCGCAGCAGTAACCAAGTGCCTCTGCTCCACTTAGAGCACTGCTTTAACCTCTGAAGATGCAGAAAGATGTAAATATGAATCTTCCTCTTAAAACTTGTAATCTCAGTGAAGATTAGGGGTATTTTTCATAAAACCAGGTCAGTACAGTGGTCTGGTGAGTGGCATAGGAGGCAGTGGGGGTTTTCTACACAAGGTGTGAAAGAGGAAAAGGTTTAACTAAGAGGGAGGAGAGGCCCCCGAAAAGAGTAGATATAATGGAGAAGCACATTTCAAGGAGGAGCATATAGGGATTCAGAGGTGACCCTGCTCATGACATATTCATGTAAAAAGGTAACCAAAGGGCTGTGAAAGCTAGGCTAAGGTAGGTAGGCAGTTGGGAGTCTTTGAAAGTTTTAGAGCCAAGAGCATGGCATGTATAAATCAAAAAATATGAATATATTCATATGTATAAATTATTATTTTTTAAAATTATGGGACTTTTTAAACATAAGCCAAATTAAAAAGTGTAATTGAACCCCTGTATACCCATTACTCAGCTTCAGCAATTATTAGTACGTCTTATTTCATCTATTCCTTCATCCTGATTCCCACCTCCATCATCTTTTGAATTGTTTTGAAACAAATCTAGGGTATCATTTCATCTGTGCATATTTTAGTATGTATTTCTAAAAGATAAGAGCACTTTGAAAAAATAACCACATTTTCATGATCACACCTCAAAAGTATTAGTATTTCTAAGTATCATCCTATATCTAGTCAGTGTTCATGTTTCCCCAATTGTCTCATAATATTTTTTTTGAGGAAGACTAGCCCTGAGCTAACATCTGCCAATCCTCCTCTTTTTGCTGAGGAAGACTGGCCCTGAGCTAACGTCTGTGCCCATCTTCCTCTATTTTATATGTGGGACACCTACCACAGCATGGCTTGCCAAGCAGTGCCATGTCTGCATCCGGGATTCAAACCCTGGGCCGCTGAAGTGGAACGTGTGCACTTAACCGCTACGCCACCGGGCCAGCCCCCTCTTAATATTTCTTTTTACGGTTAATTTGTTTGACTTAGGACCTAAACTCGTGAGGTCCATACATTGTATTTCGTTGCTTTGTCTCTTAAATCTTTTTAATCCATAAATTTCCCCTCCCTCTTTTTTTTTGTCCCCTCTTACAAAGGAATAATCCACAGAAGTTGGTGATTAACTAAATGTGGGAATGATCAAGAATGATTCCAAAGCTTTGAGGTTAAGTACTGAATGGCTGGGGAAGTGATGAGTCCATTGTTAGAAATTATGGATTCTAAAAGTAGAACTGGCTTTGAGAGAAGGGTGATTCTCGTTACCTTGCTGGTTTTATGTTGACAGCCCAGGTAGTCTGGTCAAGGTGTCCTGCTGGCCTTTGGAGTTTCTTGTTTGATCTCATACTTAAGTGTACACTGTAGATAACTTCTGAATTTGGTCATCAAAAATTTTCTTTATGGCTGAATTAATAATTTACTTGATAGGTCTAAAGATATATTCTGTGCAGAAGGAAAAGCTCACATGTACGTATTTTTCTTTTCCTAAAATACTTATTTGATACTGTTTTTATTAGCATTTTCTCCTTCTAGCTCATTTTTCTGGTACTAGATCTGAATTAGGTCAGGGTAGGAAACTCAAGTACTCAAGATAATGTAATACAATTAAACACTCAAAACTCTGACCACCCTATCTATTCATCTTCCTCTGTGTGCTTGTGTATGACCCATTCTAAACAGAAGTGTTTTTATACCAGTCTTAGGCTCTTGTAGAAATTTCACTTTTACTTCCTATCTTTAATAGCCATTCCAGTGTCACAGCATTTTTCTTGGTGAGTTTTTCCTTATGCCTAAGCTAAAATCTAAATGCCTCTATATTTTAACCCATTTCTTCTGTTTTTGGTCATTAGTGGAAATATTGACCATAGTTTCGTCAGCTCTTTCCTCTGCATGAAGACTTTTAATCATACCTTTACTGACCCCAGTCCAGACTAAATATTGTATGTTCTTCAGTCTCCTTTCTAGGTAGAGCTCTGCTTGGAAACGGAAGTCTGGCTCGTATCTAGTTTTTAGTTAAGGATTTTAAAAATGTCCTCCATGTAGCTCAATTTGACTTAATCATATTCAGTCTAAATCTGTCAGAAGTATAGCTTCAGAATATTATTTTTTAAATTCCATTTGCATGAGAGATGCCCCCACGCCTACTTGTCTTCTGGCCTAGTCTGTTCCTTCCTCTCTGTGATATTTATTGAGTTCCTACTGCAAATACAGCAGTGAACAGTACAGGCAAGATCCCTAGTTTCATGGAACTTCCATTCTAGTGGATGACCTACGATAAATTAATAGAGCCGACAGATGTCAGATGGGGTAAGTACTGTGTGAGGTGGTAAACATTTAGTAGGTATGGCTACTTTAGATTGGGGTAAAGGTGGGCCTCTCTGAGGAGTAATGTTTAGGCTAAGATTTGATTGACAAGAAGTCAGCCAGTGGGAAGACAAAGGGTCATTTCAGGAAGAGGCTGAGGGGACAGCCAGTGCGGTGCTTAGCTTTTGAGTTGCTGCTGTCATCAGTTTTGGCTGAACTTTAGAATGACCTGGGGAACTTCTTAAAAATACCGATGGTCAGGTCCATTTTAAGAGATTGTGATTAATTGGTTGGGCTTCAGCCATGGGCATCAGAGTTCTTTTTCATGCTCAGAAGATTCTAATGTGAAGTGAGGCTTGGGAACCCCTGCACCAGATTGATTTTTCACATCTTAGAGCCTAATGATAACTGGAAAGATGGCTATTTCTCATTGTAGAGTTTGCTATTTTCTGTTTGTTAAATTCAGAATCACTCTTACTGAAGAAGCTCATATCTACAGGTGACCTCCTTTCAGCTGGGTTTTCCCACCTGAGGGCCCTTACCCGTACCGTTCTCTTGTTTTTCTCCCTTCCTCTGCCCATCCTCCGTGCTTACAAACTCCTCATCCATCGTTTGTCAGCCTAGGAGTTACTTTCTCCAGTAATCTGTACTGGACCCTAAGACTAGATTGGACCACCCAGCCTCCCCACCCCCAGCTCCTGTAGCATTCTCCATTTCTTCCTAAAACTCAAGTCTATTTCCTGTGCATACATTTGTGAGAATCTGTTGATGTTTATCTTCATTGTGTATACCAGGTGCCTAACAGTGTGCCTGCTACACAGTAGATCTTTAATTCTTAATAGACATTTGTTGAATTAATGAGTAGAAATCCTAATGCTGAGGGTCAAAAGTATGTAGAATAGTGAGAAACTCTTTGATTTAACAAATATATACTGAGTGTGACTAGGACAACTTCTACTTTGTAAATAGGTTATAGCTTAGACACACAGACAGTCTTAATAGAATGTGACTAGATATCATGGAGTATGATAAGTACTGATAGCAAAGGGAGCTGATGACACAGAACTGTGCAACGGTTTGGAGAAGTTGGCTTAACTACAGCTAATCTTGGTTTTTGCAACTGTAAGATGGGAATGATGTAGAAATGAGATAATTCTGTATTTTTAATTTCAATTTGATTATAGAGCTACTTGTCCTAATAGGATAGAACCTACCTAGTAGGCTAACATTCACAAAATCATTACCTGTGCTTTTTTTGGGACCTATGAAGGTTCTGTGTATGTATGCTGACAGATGGCACCCAAACTTCTAAATGGCCTGCTTGTGCTATTAGCCAGACTTCTTAGTTTAGTTCAAATGCTGGGGAAAAGGAGAGGTTTATGCTAGTGTATACCAGTGCTGCCTCACTTTTTGAAAATTCACAGCATCGTGCACACTTGTCTTTTGCTTGGAGGAAAGTGGCACTGAACTCTGTTGGGGTTGGTGCTACAACACAGTGAACCTCTCAGTAATAAATCCTGCATTGTGCCACAGGGTGTCTGTTGATTTTTCCTTATCCATTCAGTGCAGAAAAAGTCTCAGAGCTCAGATGTTTGGTGGTGGAGTAAAATGGCTATTTTTCTCCACTGACGTGAGGAGAATTTGGTATGTTTGTGCCAGATCTCCAAGCTGCATGTCATCATTGAGGGCAGTCTGACTAACGTTCAGTTCAAGCCCATTTATGTCAGAAAAGAGCATCTACATATCCCACTGACTGAGCCATTGAATTTGAGGAGAACTAGTCAGAGGATGTGACAGAATACCATGTCA